AGTTGTATAAACTCCATTGTTGAAAAATTGGTGTAATTTGTGTTGATATGAAACTGTTTTTGATAATGTGTTATTTGTTTGAAGATAGAAAAAAAATGAAATAAATAATAACTTTTCCCCTTGTGCTTGTTATTCGAATCTATTTAATATCCTGAAAGGTTTTGATCTGTCAGAACGACGGCTACCGTTAGTGATGAATTCTTCAAGTTAACTGTTGTAATCAGCTACCATATTTGCGTGTAGAAATCTGGCGATGATATCGACTGTTGTTGACAACACTCAGGAGCTGATCACCTTCAAATTGGGGACAGAAGTGAACTTTATTACCACTTCTACAGATGTTCATTAACAGTAGTAAACATACAAAAAGGCGAAAAAAAAGATATTTACTTGATTATATGTTGCTCATAGATCAACCTTGGTAAGTTGTAGTTATCACCCTTTGTATAAAAAAAAAAAGAAATTTTTTTGATTAGCACTTTTATCGCCAAATCGAAAGGCAGCTGTCATTTGTTCAGATAAATAACGATAAATTTTTTACTCAAAAGCTTCTTTAACGAACAAAGACAAAAGAAAAGAAGAAGATTAGAAAAAAAGACAAAAACGAAGGAGCGAAAAAATTCTGTTTATTTTTTTTTTCTTTACAACCAATTGCAACTTCAACTGTTTATCACACAGAAAACGATCGCTTACAAGCAAAATTTTCAGTAACAGTTGGCACCTGAATAGATGCTTAATTCAATTGAAAAAAAAAAAAAACGGCCAACTAAATCAATTCACACCATAGTAGATAAGAAGAACACAAAAATATATTGTAATACTTTTTGGAAACTAAAACTACTGTTGAAATTTTTTTTTTCTTACCTCTATTTGAATAAACCGACTAAAACAGTGTTTTGAAAGAGACTACAAACTTAAAACTGCATTTACATTTATCTGTATCTGTGGGTTTGTGCGTAAAGAAAGCACTTGTTTTCATTTGTTTTATTTTTTTTTATTTCTACACCTTTGCACTTTTACTGTTATTGCAGTTAATGGTGTATAAATTGTAGACCAGAAAAAAAAAAAA